AATGCAATAAAAATTACAGGACTGGGAGTTTAGTATACAGATATTCACTACACAACTCTCCAACTGTTCTAAACATTTTAGTCTTTTTGTGATAAAATGTTAGGAAAAGATACCTGCCTGGCTTTTTATAACCCCCGCTTCCCTAATAAACAATCACAAGATACCTGCCTGGCTTTTTTTACCGCCCCCTTCCCTAACAAACAAATTTAAAAACAAATGTAATGTTTATCCTGCTGATTTAAGGAAAAGAAAGATTTTAGGTGCAGGCAAATAAATATTCTTAAGAACAAATACGGTAATATTAATACTCACCATAGCCACATTTACCAGGAGGAAAACTAAATGGAAAGAAGGTTAAGGTGAGAAGTTCACAACACAGGCTTAAAAGAGATCTCTGTAAGGCCAGTCACACAAGTGGCTACAGGAAGTGATCTAATATACCACTCATTATTCACAGAAAAGAATGTTGCAATGTGTTGTCTACAGATTATGTTTTTTTTGTTTTCTGTTTTTTTTTTTTTTTGGTATCAGGGATCGAACTAGGGACCTTGCAGTTTTGAGGCAGGTAGTGGCACCGCTGAACTAAATCCCTTGCCCCAGATGATATTGTTAGACAAAGAAGAGAAGGGTTGGGCTCTGGGAAGACACTGGAACAGTCTAGCCCTGCACAGTATTTGTGCAAATGACCAGCAAGAAAGACTTTAAGGATATAGCTGTAGTCCTATCTACCAGTACTATGCTTCACTATAAATCATTGGCTTTTACAAGCAGGTTTGTAGAAAGTGAAAGCAAAATAACAAAATATAGACACATTACAGACTTAGGCCTAGAAGCAAGTGGCAATTTTATTACTTGGTGGCTAAACAGTTTGGGATAAACTACTTCACCTATCAGAGCCTCTATTTCCCTCAAGAGAATGAAGAAGAAATCCCTGGAACAGGAATTGGCCTACTGGGAATTTTGGGCATATGAAATGAGAAAAATATGTAAGTTTTATTTTGGTGCCCTGTGTACAGTAAGTACTCTGTCAATATTATTTTGTTTTTTATTTTTGTACTGGGGCTCAAACTCAGGACCTTGCATTTGCAAGGCAGGTGGCAGCACCATTTTTCCGTCCTCCTTTTTTTTGAGGGGTGGGTACCAGAGATCAAACTTGGGACCTTGTGCTTGCAAGGCAGGCAGCAGAACCACTCAGCTAAATCCCCGGGCCTTCCTTTTCCTTCTTTAAGTAGTAAAAGTAGAAATTTCTTGGTTTTTATTAATTCTAGAAATAACATTTATTGTAAAGCTTTTCTGGATCACAAGCCACTTTGATAGAATGGAAATATTAAAGAGAAAAAAGCTGCCTGCTTCCTTCCAGGCCATTCAGATATTCTCATGCATCTATGAGTAACTGAAAGTGCATCCTCAATTGCAGTTTTCCCTAGACACCTGGTATGAAATGTGGGTGGAAGTTTATTTGGGGATGTATATTTAATTCAATTTTTAAAAAGTATCATCTCTCTAATCTTCCTTTTAAAAAAAAGTTCTATCTATCAAAGGCTACTTGTATGAACAATATCCTAAATGGTTCTGGTAGACTGAACAAGAAGGTAAAATACAAAATTTCCATTAAGTTAAAGTGTTTAATTTAATGATGAGAAATAATTATCACTCTGCAGAGATGGGAAAAGCCAGGGATAAGTTGTCATGTTCTCAAGACTTAGGCAAGCAAGTATTTCTTAAGGAAAGTAATTCAATTTTTTTAAAACAAAGTTTTAACATTAAGATTATCAAATATAAACAAATGTTTAACACATCTCTCTGTATCCATGACCCAGTTTCAGCCATTATTGCCAGGCCCATTTTAAAGGTGGAATTTATAGATACTATTTAGTCTTCATATCAGACACAGCAGTATTTTTAAGAGATGTGTGCTTTCACAATGGTATTCTTGCTGGGGGCAAAGTGAATCTTTACAATTTTTTCAGAGGCACAGTGGAAATTGCCCAAATTCTCATACTTTAAATACCATATTGGTTTTCTTCTTATTATTAACTTCAGAGAAGGGCTAATCTTCCTAATGTGTAGAGTTTTTACTTCCTAACTCCTTGCATCAACACACTGAAATCAACAATGACAAAAGTCCTGAGGTTTGCACCTGAAAAGCTTGGGAAGACAAATGAGCACAAGAGAAAGTAACAAAGTAGAAAGGGTTAGGTAAGGACAAACAGGGATGAGAGATGCTGGACAAAAACGAAAGGAAGGTAGAAGGTATATTCACAGACCAGAACCTCACTATGCCATCATTCTTATACCATATGTCTAAACACAGCCATCATGCTGTCTTGGGTAACCTAATCACCTGCTAACACAACTGCTCTGGTCATTTTCCCAAAGTCATCATAAAATCAGAAGGAACAGCTTTCTTCACAGATGCCACAATGTTTCTGCCACTTCACCCCTTACTATTAAGAAAACCACTTGAGGCATATAATTGAGTACTATCTTCCTTGTCTGTGGAGGGAAAGCCCTTTATTCTTCTTAAGGGACAAAATGGAACTTGTTCCAAGTAGGAAAAAACATAAGCAAAAGGAAGCAAAATGTCCACCCCCACAATCTGTCAATCCCTTAGCCTCAAATTATATGCAACTGTGAGCTGATTCATGTGGATGGGCTTTTCACTACAAGAAAGCTTGGGTTCTTTTGCAAAGATCCACAGAGTTTCAATTAAGCAGGCTGGATGAAAAGGGGTGATATCATGAGGATAAGTAGCAAGCTTCAGGCCCCAACATATTAATCAGAAATGACTCTATGGTTAGATTATACACATGACATCACACAGTCTGAGCTGCGGTCCCTTCTTAACTCACTGAAGAGGGTTCACTGTCATATGACTCAATTAATTCAAAAGGAACTTTTGTGACTTCAGACGTCAATGCAAACTTTCAAAACCTACATGTAATTAGCCATGATTTTGCAGAATATAAATTTGCCCAATACTTTTTTCCCAAGCATTCTGGAGTTTCCTTTTTTCAAAAGGGAATAGTTACTCTCCTCTGACTGTGAGTGAAGCTTGTAAGGCTACCCAGACTACAAGTTACTAACAGGATCAGGAATAAAACAAGATTGTTCTCTATTACTAATTCTATTCAATACAACACTCAAAACATTAGCCACAGAAATCAGGCAAAAGAAAGAAAAGGGATATGTATAGGAAAGGAAGAAGTAAAAATATATTTATTTGAGGATGACATGGTCCTTTATATACAAGACCCAAAAAATCCATCACATGACTCCTAGAACTAATAAATGCAGCAAGGTAGAAGGGTACAAAACCAACACACAAAAAGCTTCATGTTGCTGTATAGTAACAATGAACTTACTGAAAAATAAGTAAAATTGTATCATTCAAATAGTTTCAAAGGAAAATTAAATAGGAATTAACCTAACAAAGGAAGCAAAAGACTCCTATAATGAAAACTATAGTACTCTAAAAAGGGAGACTGAAAATGACAGTAGAAAATGGAAACATATCCCTTGTTTCTGTTTGCGCAGAACCAGTATTGTCAAAATGGCCATACTTTCAAAACTGTTAATAGATTTAATGCAATTTCAATCAAAATGCCAACAGCATTCCTCACAGATTTAGAGAAAACAATCCTAAAATTCATATGGAACCAGAAGAGACCCCAAATAGCAAAAGCAATCCTGGGCAACAAGAGCAAAGCAGGAGGCAACACAATCCCAGATTTCAAGTGGTATCACGAAGTTATAGCGAGAAAAACAGTGTGATACTGGCACAAAAAGAGATATGTGGATCAATGGAACAGAATAAGGATGCAGAAATAACTGCAGGCACATTCATCTACCATCTATTTAATCTTTGACAAAGTGTCCAAAAACGTATGCTGGAGGAAAGATAGCCTTTTCAGCAAATGGTGCTGGGAAAACCGTATCCACGTGCAGAAGACTGAAGCTACACTCTTCTCTCACCGTGTACAGAAGAAAAATCAAAATGGACCAAAGATCTAAATTAAAACAAATAATCTGTTGAAAGATTGAAGATATAGGCAACAACACTGAACAGAACCCTATCTGCATAAGAAATAATATCAAGAATCAACAAATGGAATTATATCAAATCAAGAGGCTTCTGCACAGAAAACAACCAAGAGAATGAACAACCTACAGAATGCAGGAAAAAAAAAATCAGCCAGCAACTCCTCAGACAGGAAACTAATATCTAGAATATATTAAAAAATTAGACCTGTCCCCTGAAATAAAAAAAGCCAATGAAAAAATGAGCCACTGATATAAACAGATATTTCTTAGAAGAATTACAAACGGCCAATGAATATATGAAAATATGTTCAATATCTCTGCCTATTACAGAATGCAAATTAGAACAACACTGAGATTCCATCTTACTCCAGACATAACAGCTATTATCAAGAAATCAAATAACATGTTGAAGAGGCTGCAGGGAAAAAGAAACCCTTCTACATGTAGGTGGGAATGTAAATTAGTACCACCACTGTGGAAATGTGTGTGAGATTCCTCTGTACAAAAATGGATGCACCTTGAGACCATTATGTTAAGTGAAACAAATCAGACAAAGAAGCTTAAATACCACATGACTTCTCTTATATGAGAATAACTCAAAGTATAAAGAGAAAAACAACAGGCAATAAGATATAGGGAGATATGTCTTTTGCAAATGGGAGGGGGACCAAGAAGAGAAGAGAAGAGAAGGGGAGGTGGATGAAAAAAGAATTAAGGTATGTTATATACACATACCAATTCCTCACACTTTATGTAATTGTTACATATTACAGATATATACTAATAAATATAAAATTTTTTTAAATGACCAAGTTACTAGCAGGAGTCACATATTAAGGGAAGTGAGATGTTTGAGAAGACATGAACACAAGAATAAGAAACGAAGGAAAAAGAGTTAAAGAAGGAAAATCAGGAAATCAGTGTTTCTGGGCACGAAAGAAAGATATACTCAATACCTTTGAGAAGATGATGCTGTCCATGTCATCATTGGGTGAATGAAAGAGGTCAGAATCACTCCCAGATTCTCTCTGAAGTACACTTTGTTTTGAGGCACACTCTTTGCCCAGTCCAACATCCAACAAGTTCTCACATTCTGAAAAAGAAAATTTATTCAATTGATAACTTCCCCAAAATATTTTTTTACTTTGTATTCATTTCAGAAATTATTTTTCATCCAGTGTCTAGCCTTTTTTTCCTGTCCTTTACTCCACCCCGCCCGCTGCCTTCCCCATCTTCCTTTTTTTCCTTTTATGTATCAGGAAGGCAGAAAGGACACACTTAAAGTATGTACCAGCTTTCAGCTTTACTCCTGAAATTCTAGACTGATATAGTTACTACTGGATACCCATGAGCTTGTCACGTCTCTGTAAGGTAGAGAAAAATAAAAAATGATACTACCTAAAAGCTAATGACTTCCTTCTGGTAACTAAACAATTTTTTTTTCATGTCTCCAAAATCTGAAGTTTATTACTATAAAATTATGTGATAGTTGTTTGTTAACAATTTCAGTTCTGAGACTAAAGTCCTATCAGGAAAATTATGCCTTTCCAAAATAGTGGTATAAAGATCATCTTTACTTATCACACCAGAGTATTAAACCTATGGACTCTACTGAGTAATAAAAGAGATTAATTTAAACCTTTTCTCCCTTAAATAGATCTTACACTAGAAAAAAAACTGGAGTAGAAAAATTCATCTTCTGGAATCTATATTCAGTTCAGTAACTATGATGGGAATTCTGATGACCCAATGGGAGGTGCCCCTGACAAAATGATTACACTGGTATGTTGACAAATCCTCAAAGACTTAGTATCTTGAAATTAGCGAGGTATTAAAAAAAGAAAAAAAGAAATTTAATCTATTCTTTCCTATTAACCTTGTCAACAAATGGTACATAAGATCCGGTAGCAGTAAGATTATAAAAATATTTTCAGATAGTGAAACTAGGAATCCAAAGAGTTAATTAGTGGTGTACACTAAGCACCTTCAAGAAGTTCAGAAGAGTTATGCCTCTCACACTAGTATTTTAACATGTGATGTAACGTGTATGTGCACTTTATGAAATCTGTAGGTGATATTAAGAGATGAGAAGCAGAGTGGAAAACCTGGCTACCTTGCAGTTCTAGAGATTTTGGTAAAAATTAAATTCAAGAGGAGCTGGTAATACAAGGAGATTGAAAAATAAACCAAAAACAGTAATAGTTTTAGGCTCTATTAAAAGACAACACAGTACTGTAGTCCAAAATGAGGATGTTCCTGCACTGCACAAAGCTCATTAACACAGAACTGTGTTTGTTCCTAGATTAATATCTAAATTAGAACATTGATAAACAACAAAGACATAATAATGAGTTCAAAACAGTGCAAACATAAGGAAATACATTGAGCTCATGGAGGAGCCTGAAGGAGCTGAAGGCAGAGATAGATTTCTTCTGTGCCATTTCAGGTACAGAACAAAGACCACTGAGTGAAAGTTGCAGAATATCACTAATAGTATGAGAGATTCTGGGGGCCTCATAAAGTAGTGAGTGTCATTTAACCAGAAGTATTGCAGCAGAGACTGAAAGACTATGTCAAGATATTACAAAAAAGGCATCTACATGGAAGGTTAATTTGGACTCATTAACTTCCAAAGTCTCTTTTGATTCATAGGTTGTATGCTTAGAAGAGAACTGTGAGAGGTTGTTTACATGTAAATTAATTATTGCCTAACAGTTTAGAGCTCCAGTGGTCCAACTGGCTAGCACGTGGTACTTATACAATAATTAATAAACTGTGTATAATGGATCAGCCAGATAATTTGAGGAAGGAGGCAGTGAATTGGCATAGGTTTAATTGTCTATCAGCAAAACCACTTTTATTAAGCATTTGGCTGTGTACTAGGCAATACAAATAAAGAGATGCTTATTGTGTGTATGTGACAGAGTAGGGGGTCTATTTACAATCTTGTGGTAGAAATCAACATAGTAAGAGACAGTTTCATCATAGAATTAAAGTATGTCACAGGTAGCAAGGCAGGACATGTAAATTAATCTGAAAAAATTTCATTTAAAAAAAAAACACCTTAGATAATGGGGATGTTCAACGGAATAATAGGCCTGCATTTAAAAGACTAGAAATTATGTATATTCTAGAGGGATGACCTCAACACACACATTTCACAGGTTATGTAGTAACGTAAGTGGAATTGGTGGGACTGTGATGTTTCTACTCCTTTCTCTTTCCCACTTGGTAAAAAACAAACGAACAAACAAAAAAACCAATCCATTCTGTGGCTGAGGGGAAACAGGGGGCTAGCCAAGAACAGAAAGGGCTGTCACAGCAACCAGGCTGAGCTGCTAGCTGTCCAGCTGGCAGGCAGTCTAAAGACCACATCCAAATTCCAGACTGGAAAATAGACCAGCTCAAGATATCCTAATGGAAAATTCACAGAAAGAGCCAGATTCAGCTCTGGTAGGAACACCTCACCCAGACAATAAATTCAAGCCAGCACAAGACCACAAACCAAATTTGGGATCTCACTGTGTGAGATAATGTTGACTGTTTGGGCATGAAGGAAGAATATGAAAACGAAGCAAGGGAGACAGAGAGTATGAAAGCCATTATATCCAAACCCCAGGGGTGGGGATACAGAAAGGCACAAAGCTAATCTACCTTATGCCATGTGTTGGTAAGTTCTTAAAATTAACCTTTCCTTTCTTCCACCACATCTCTTTCCTTGTAAATAGTGATATAAACAAGAACAAGGAGCCCTGGTTTTAGAGTTAGATGGATTCAGCTTAAATCTAACTACATACAATAAGAAAGATCCCAGGCAAGAGGTAATTTAAGCTCCTATGACTCCATTTTCATACCAGTGAAATGGGAAGATTAGCAACTCCCCAAAGAGTTGGACTTGACAGAAATAATAGATACATATGTAACACACGTGTGCCTAATGAGATACATTATGAGTGCGAGATACATGTGCCTAATAAAGTTCAAGCTTCATTAATCTTTTTTGATGGGGGTGGGTACAGGAGATCAAACTTGGGTCCTTACCTGGTAGTGGAACCACTGAGCTAAATCCCTGGCCTAGGCTTCATTAACCTTTACTGTGTGATTCTTTAAATAGCTGTATGGCAGTACACTGACGGTAGACACAGTGGGCGCAAGTCTGTTTTTATGGCTCATATGTAAAACTGTCTATAATTTTTGGTCACCGAGTCATTAACTTTTTAAAAGCTAGCAGAACATAAACTTTTCAAAATGTTATCTGGTCATTTAGGCTTACAATGACCAGCATACACATGTCTAGGTATGTAGCAGGATATACCATCTAGGTGTGCATAAGTACACCCTATCATGTTCACATGATGGTAAAAATCACCGATGAAATGTATTTCTTAAATGTATCCTCATCTTTAAGTGACATAGTACTATATATGCTAACAAACTGCAGTTGGAATAATGTAGGAAAACATGCCAATAACATCCACTGGACTTTGTTAAACCATGCTATGTATAATTGTATCTTGTATTTATCCAGTATTGAAGAGTACGCAAAATGACTTAAAGATATATTATCTCATCTGACCTAATTCTATTGCTTTATGGAGAGTATTTATGATTTTACCAAAAAAAACAAAAACAAAAACAAAAAACCTGGAAGAAAGTATAAATTTGAGACTTACAAACAAAACAAAACAAAACAAAACCAACACAATAAAAAGAAAAACCCCACTATGTTGGGATCAGATTGGTCATGCTGCAGTTAGGGTGTGGAGTAGGGGGGGTCTAAACAATTCAAGATTATGCTCTGAGGAAAATACTTAGTGGTTCAACACCATTTCTCTAAAGGAGTGAATTAAATATTCAAATTGTGAGACAGCTTCATTTAGTCTTTATATAGCAGATAGTTTCACTGCTTAAGTGGTTGTAAGTAATTACACTTTTAGAAAAAAAGCTCTAAGAAGTTTAAGGAACCAAAACATAGTAATATTACTTCTAACATGGTAGACTGTAGAGACCCTAACTGTAACTATAGCATAATATCCTTTAACCACTCTTTCAGAAGTTTAGGGAAAAACAATATGCATATCTGCCTTCAATAATTCCTTTGTAGTAAAGCCAGAGTTGAGAATTAGTAGGAAATATCTTTGGACATAGAGGATTTACATAGCTTGTTTTAAAATTTAATATAACTGGCAGGGTACCTACAGTTAAACCATTCCTAAAAAGACAAAAATAGGGCCAGGGATTTGGCTCAGTGGTTCTGCTGCCTGCCTTGCAAGTGCAAGGGCCCAAGTTTGATCCCTGGTACTAAAAAAAAAAAAAAAAAAAAAAAA